TGTGTAAAAAAAAGCTTAAACCCCCCCCCCCCCAATATCAGTGACATTTCACACAGTAGAATCACATTCTAAAAGTGAAGAACTTGCTTAATATACAATTTGTGTTTATTTGGTGTAAAAAAAATCTATTTAAATTTCTATTTGAGTTCCACCAAATAGCTGGAGCCACTAGGGGTCCGTGTCTCGCTGAACAGCTGCATGATTAGAGCGGAAGTGGCCTTTTTCTTTCTAAAGGCGGGATCAGGAAGCAGCGCTGTGTGAGTTATTTTGGGCGCATTGAGACTGTGAACAGCACGGCGTTTGCGGATGAGGATTGAAATTTCTCCATGATAGTGTCCAGGTATGATATAAACTATGTTACTGCTGCACGTTAGCTTAAGAGTACTGTTCATACTGTTGTGTTTGCCACTTAGGTTATTATTATTTTTAAAATGAATAGAGAATGGCGTGTCAGCTGTCGTTGTGTGGCGCTGACCGCGAAGAAATGAGGCGGGACCTCAAAAACTCGTGTAAATTACCAAGACTTTACTCTTATCAACTGCATAATTTCATAACATTTTATTTATTAGCTATTATCTATCTGTTGCGTTTTTGATGGTTTTATTAATCCTATGTGTAGTTTTGACTTTTGCTTTCCCTGTAGTCTCGTAACTTACCTTCACTTTCCTTTCTCAGTGTTACAATATATATACGGTAATACATGAGGAAAGGAGAGGCAAATTGGCTGATTTTCAGGGAAGGCACATTTGCATTTTAGCAATAGCTGAAATTATATCTGGAGTTGAATAGGTGTTTTTTTATGCATTCCTTTTCGTTTGAATTATATGTGCAGTTAGTTTTCTGCTATTAAGAAATCAAACCTTTTAACATAAATGTTTTTGTCCTGTTTCTCTGCCTTAAGCCACTGAAGAAAGTCAACTTGATATCCCACAACCCTCTAATACAAATTAACAATGTCGTCAACATCACAAAAACACAAGGACTTTGTGGCAGAGCCCATGGGGGAGAAGTCTGTGATGGCACTTGCAGGAATCGGTGAAGTTCTTGGAAAGAGATTGGAAGAGAAGGGCTTTGACAAGGTATGATGTAAAAAGATGTTTCATATATACTCTGTAGTCATGAAACCGAAACCATTCATTTTTCTTTCTTTCACTTTTGTTTTTCTTCTTAAAGGCATATGTTGTTCTAGGACAGTTCTTGGTACTGAGGAAAGATGAAGAGTTGTTTCGGGAATGGTTGAAGGATACTTGTGGAGCCAACATTAAACAGCAAGGCGACTGTTATAGCTGTCTGAGAGAGTGGTGTGACTCTTTCCTGTAGTTGACTTTTTTTTGTTGTTGTTGTTGTATATTAATTTCCCTCCCACTTGTATGTGGAATACGTTTACCTCACTTTATCAATTTGACTTTTCGGACATCATTTTTGGATGTATTGATATTAATTCTTAGCATAGATTTATCGCACTAGAAGGTCTTTTAGATGGGTACACTTGTAATATAACTGCTCATTTTGTGTTGTTCAAACATCATTCACACTGGATCTTTAGTTTTGGGGGTGAGACACAAAATCATCCACGCATATGCAGTTCTGTTGCAGGCTGTACATGCACTAGTAGTCCAAATACACATTTGCCAAGAACAACACAAATAGTTCTACAAGTCTTTCCCCTTCTCTGTTTATGATGTTTGAAGGTTTTAACTGACTTATGTCCAAAATGTGCCACTTTTAAAGGTTTATGTGAACTTGAATATGTATTTCCCAAATGATCAGATGCATAATGGTATAATTTTGTTATATGGTTTTTATGCTCCCCAGCCACTAAATTGCCTTAATAAAAATCTGGATTTGTTTTAATTGTGCATGTGTACCTAAAGATGCGTGGTCTGATTCATTCTGCATAGTGTAGCCACTTAATTCACATCTTGATTGGCATTTGCTGCTGTCAGATGTTTAAAATGCTACATGAATGGTCTAAGAAACTCATAAATGTTCTTATGATTCTAACATTTTGAACCTTTTTGTGTTTTGGCATTTTAATTCTTTTTGAATAAATTATCCAAAAAGTAATAATTTATAGGGTGTGTGGCGAGTATGTGGAATGACACACAGTATTGCCAATCCAGCTCAACCTGTTGTTACACAAGCGGAATTACCTGTTTTGCTTTGGATTATTAAAAATCATGAACTTGCACTACTGTTCAAAAGTTTGCGGTGGTTACAATTTAGAATAACTTTTCTATTTTAAAATGTAAATTTTTTTTTTTCTGTGATAGTAAAGCTGAATTTTCAGTATTCGTTACTCCAGTCTTCAGTGTCTCATGATCCTTCAGAAATCATTCTAATATGTTGATTTGCTGCCTAAGAGAAACATTTATTATCAATATTGAAAACGGTTATGCTGCTTAATTTTGTAATAACGGTGATCCTAGAATGATGACTAGAAAGTTAAAAAGTGTATTTTATTTAAATTTTGATTTGAAATAGAAATCTTTTGTAACATAATAAATCTACTGTCGCTTATGATTTTTTTGTCCTTTCTGAATAAAAGTATTCATTTCCTCAACAACAACAAAAAAGAACAGTAGTGAATTATTTTTTTCTCCTAAATCTCAATAAGCGGTACATGTAAGTGTGTTGTGTTTAAAAGTTTTATTCATTCCTTCATTGGATTCTGTCTGCATTTAATCCGTTACTTGGGACCACAAGTTTTGACAGATATTCTGTTTACATTTTTTTCCAATAATTCATCTTTTAAGCTAATTTCCAACTCTTAGAGACTAGATACCTCTACCTCTTGTTTAAGTGGTCAGAAAAATTTAATTGGTTTTTGGACATTTAGGTTTAGGAGCGCTATGCACTGGTGGTATTTGTGTGTAGGTATTAGCAGTCTCACCTTCTCACAATGATCTAAACTTTAAAAGTTCTACCAGTTAATCAGAAATGTCTACCAGCGTACATAGCCACCTCAAACAAAACATTAAAAAAAAAATCTAAATATACATACAGAATTTGTATGTGAAGAACATAACGAATGTCTTGAATATAATACAATTTGAAATCATTGAAATATCCAGACCCGCACCTATTTCCTTTTGCTTGATTAAAAAACTGCTTGCATATGTGTGTATCAGTGTGTGATTTCATCTAATCAAATTGCATCAATCTTGATGTTATTTTGGTCCCCCCCCCAAAAAAAAACCCAGGAGAATAAAAATATCCTCACAAGCATGATTTTGACAATTTGGTGCTGTCAGTTGCTGAAATTTAGAAACCACTTTGCATTTATTAAAGCTTAATTTGGGATTTATTTTGCTGTGTCGTGTCTCGTTGAGTGTTGTGTTGTGTTGTGTGATGTGCGTACACAAATCATTATCATCTAAATGAGACTAATTCTGCCCTTCCGGTGTCCTGTTCAGAGCAGAGCACAGAAGAACTTTTTCTCCCTGAAAGGGTTTTCTGAAGTGGGCACGGGGGTGATGAGAGGGTCCTCACATACATGGGCATCACAGTAGGCCATCAAGTCCGCCGCTGCCTTGGACACCTAAGAATTCAGGTAGATTATCAGTGTCGAAAATTAAAAGCACTAAAACAGTTATTGATTCAAAGCTGATTGTCTTGTTCTTAAGGTAAGACACTGCAGGTGAATCAGGTAAAAAAAAATTTAATTAAAGTACATTAAGATAATTGCTTTGTATTACAAGTTTTCTGAAATGTTATGTTCCAATATGCAAATAAGGCATTATCTATTTAAATATGCACTAATTTGTATACATTTCTAGAAGAGAAATCTGAACACAAATTCTTGTTTCGTTTTGATGACATAAGAGAGTTTTTACAGAGAGGATTTTGGATCACTCCATAAATCAGAAAATGCTGTCAAAAGCCAGAAAGAAAAATCACCATATATTTAGGAATAAAGTAAATCAGGCGAACGTTGTATGAACAAACTCTTTTGTAAATACCTTCAGAATATGAATAAAAATAAAGTTTAGTAAGTGCTACTGAGATTTTTTTGCACATGAGAAAAAACTCATTTTGAGAAAACAGGCTTGCAACTGAAATCTATAGACACAAATAAATAAAGTGTAATAAAATGAACACTTAAATGGGTATTTTGAGGGTTTTCTTTCTACTAGTCTAAAATGAAGACAAGTGATGGATACAAAATAGCCTCAAAATAATCTCAAAATTGACCAGCACCTGAAAAACACTGGGTTTGCCTGTAGTGTCTTTATAAACTGCACCTTCATATCTTGGCTAAAACAGCATTTTAATTAAATAGAACTTTGTATGAGTGAAATGAAAGGTTGAGGTCAATGCTTAAAGACTGTTGAATGCTTCAAATTCTACTTGTAGGACACACTTTACCGGGGGGATTGTAGAATTAGGTCATACCTATTAACCTGATTCCAGATCTTTGATCACATCTTATACAAATGAGTCTGCTACGTACAGGCTGGTATAATAAGACGTATTTTTAGGCAGGCAGGATTACCACTGATCTGATTCCTGTTTGCCACATTTTCTGGTTATTTTGCATGGCAACCCTCACCTTGATTCGACAAAAACTGGCTTCAATCTTCAGCTGTTCCACCAGCTTCCTGGCCTGACCGACGCTCATGGTGCTGTTCACAGGGGTGTCTCCTTTCATCCTACCACATACACACACAAAATTACTCAGACATCAATGCAAAATCCCCTTGAAATACAAAAATGAATCTGCTCATCTTGATTAAGGAGTTCATAATCACAATCCAGCCAATAAAAGTATATTTGCGCTGCCCTACAAGAGGGTTTTTGCAGTGATGCAACAGAAGAACCATTTTTGGTTCCCAAAAGAACCTTTCAGTGAACAGTTCTTAAAAGAACCAATGTGAAGAACATTTTAATCATCTAAAGCAGCGTTTCCCAACCTTTTTTTAGTCGCGGCACCCTTTGGAACTTGTGGCACCCTACAAAATTAATTTTGTCACAATATTTGAATTTCTAACTTCGATATGATAATTTGAAAAGTATAGACATTCGGTACAACAGGGAAGAACTGCAGAATATAATGTCATACAGATATTTTTAATATTATTT